GATCAACCAATTTGTTTCAAGTACTGAAAGAAAAAAATTATCAATCCAGAATTATGAACTCAATGAAAATATTATTCAAAACTTAATGGAAAATAAAGTTTTGGAGATGATGATTGGAGAAAATGGAACTCTTATACACTGTAAAATGGTATAGCCACTATGAAAACAGTTTTACAGTTCCTCAGCAAGTTAAACATAGAATTACCATATGATGCAGAAACCCCAAACCTAAGTATATATCAAAAAGAATCGAAAACAGGTGTTCAAACAAAAACTTGTATATGAATGTTTATAACAGCACTATTCACAATAGCTGAAATATGGAAAAAACCCAAGTGTCCATCAATGGGTAACTGAAAAAACAAAGTGTGGTATATCCATATAATGGAATTTTATTCATTATTCAGATACATGCCACAACTTGGATGAAGCTTTAAAACATTATGCTAAGTAAAAGAAGCCAGACACAAAAGGCCACATAGTGTATGGTTCTATTTATATGAAATATCCAGAATAGGCAAATCAATAGAGACAGAAGGCAGATTTGTGGTTGCCAAGGGCTAAGGGAAGGGAGAATGAGGAATGACTGCTTAATGGGTATAGAGTTTCCCTTTGAAGTGATAAAAATAAGTTCTGGAACTAGATAGTGGTGATGGTTGCAAAACATTGTGAATACCACTGATTTATACACTTTAAAATGGTTAAAATGGTCAATTTTATGTCTGTGTGTTTTACCACAATTTAATTCATTAACTAATTAAAATTAAGGCAAAGTGGTTACTAAAAAAAAAAAAAAAGAAGTTTTAGTTGAGAGAATTTACTGCATGTGGATCTGTACTACAAGAAATGCTGAAATAGCCCTAGCCCAAGCCCGAGCCCTGGCTCAGTGGATGTAGTGTCGGCCTGCGGACTGAAAGGTCCCGGGTTCAATTCCAGTCAAGGGCAGAACAGGCTCGATCATCAGTAGAGGGCATGCAGGAGGCAGCTGATCAATGATTCTCTTTCATCATTGATGTTTCTATCTCTCTCTCCCTCTCCCTTCCTCTCTGAAATCAATAAAAATATATTAATAAAAAAAATGCTGAAATAACTTCTTGGGGTTGAGGAGAAAGGATACCAGATGGAAGCTCAGAGCTTTAAAAAGAAATTAAAGATCACTGAAAATGATAACTATGAGATAAATAAAACACTATTTTTTTCTCCTTTCACTTTTTAAAAAGATTATCTGTCTGGTTAATGCACAAATTATAATATTGAATTCTGAATTTTATAACACATTTAGATTTCAAACATATGACAACAATAGCACAAGAATGGTGGTGGTGGATAAATGGAATTGTATTATTAACTAGAGGCCCGGTGCACAAAATTCGTGCATGGGGGTGGTGGTGAGGAAATCCCTCAGCAAGGCCTGCACCCTCTCACAATCCAGGACATCCCCCTCACAATCCGGGACCGCTGGCTCCTAACTGTTCACCTGCCTGCCTGCCTGATCGCCCCTAATCACTCTGCCTGCCTGCCTGCCTGATAGCCCCTAACCACTCTGCCTGCCTGATTGTCCCTAACCACCTCTGCCTTGGCCCCTGCCATGGTGGCTTCATCCCAAACGACGTCCAGAAGGTCGTTTGGCTGTCTGGTCTAATTAGCATATTACCTTTTTATTATTATAGATGGTTTCTTCTAATTTATATGGAATATCCCCATATTTACTCTATTTACTATGATAAGTTAAGAAAACAGACTATAATCTTTAGAAGAATAACTAAGAAGTAATACAGAAAAGTATAACTAAAAATCCAATAAAGGAAAATATTCAATTTCTGTTTCAAATCATACCAACTCATGCTTTACTTACCCTCTCACCATAAACAATTCAAAAATTGGACAAAATTTACAGAACAAATGTTCACAGACATTGAACACTGTGAAACAATGATTCCTGAGAGAAGAAGAACCAACAAGGTGATTCCTGGAGGCACCTCCAGACTAGAGTGCATGGAGCAGGGACTAAGGAGAACACAGCACTCTCCCTGAGCTGAAGAGAAAGCAGAGTTTGGGGAGGCTGAGGCACATGTGGTGGACAGAATACGAGAGAGAATAGAATTACGTAGAAAAATATCCATGGGGACAAAACTTAGACCTATATTTATAAAATCTGTTATCAAATTCATTTGATAACAAATTTGTTATCGAAAACTTCCCCACAAAGAAAACTATAGGTCCAGGTGAAAAGGACACCTCTTTGCAGTCACAGAAGCTTTAATCATAAAGCCAAAAACTAGGGTTAGGGTTAGGGTTAGGGTTATCCCCAGGAGAATGAATAAAATTATGGTTATTTATACAATGGAATAATACCCAGTACCAAAAACGAACAACCTGATACGCATATAACAACATGAACACATCTCAAAAATTATGTTAAGTGAGAGAAACCATACATAAAAGGGAATCATAGCACATGATTTCACTTAAATGAAGTTTAAGAATAGGTAAACCTGATCTATGATGACAGAAATTAGAACAGTGGTTGCTTAGAGGCGGAAACTTCCTGGGAAGTGATAGAATGTTTATGTATTTATCAAAACTCATCAAACTGTACACTTAGGACTGGTGCATTTCAGTATATGTAAATTTTACTTGATTAAAAATATGTTTACAGCAATATTATTAATAATTTAAAATTAGAAACTACTTAAATACCTTATACTAGGGTTTAATAAAGAGTGTACCCAAATACCACTTTTAGTTCAGCCACTGAAAATGATACTATAGAAAACTATCTATTGACAAGGAGAGATGTTCATGACAATTTTTATGAAAAAGAAAGTTATCAAACAACATATACTTTACAACTGACCTGTCAGCACAAAAATGGGCTGGAGACATTCATCTAAGTGAGACTTGAGGTTAACTTAAAAGGGTGTTTTCACTCTTTCTACACTGAACATGTACTTGCTTTTGTAATAAGAATAAGTCTTTCTAGATAGATAAATATAGTTATAGATTCATACATACAGTTGGTCTTGTAATTCATGGTAATTATGTCCTATAAAGGCACCAGGAACTCTGATTAGGAAATGCTGAACCATTGTTCCTAGAGGAAATACAGGGTTAGGTTCCTACGAGCACCACGTTTTCATCAGCTGATCATATGTAACCTTGTTTTATGTGTACTTCTACCTAAAGACACCTTATTGAATAGAAACTGTTGACGAATTAACATTGAACTCACAGCCAACAGTAATATAATAAAAAAGGCGCACCTCATCCCACATCCTCTGTGTTTTGTTCAACGCCTGAACAAAGCTTATTTATCACATGCATTTTCTCCCTAAGGTACATCAAAGCCTTTTGCACTTAAGAACACTAGGCAGCACTATGCTTGGAAAAATTTTAAACAACAGGATCTCCCCAAGAAAGCATAAAAATGTGAAAAACGTGGCATTAAACAGACCGTGAAAAGGACACCTGTGTGCAGTATGGGAGATGAAACAAGAAGGCAGAATTTCACCTTCTTCAACCTCAGCTGGGGGCATGCAAGTTGAGCAACTCAAAATTTTTGCCTCTCTGTGCATATCTGCAAATAACCACAAAAATGCTGCTAGTGTTGATTTGGGGGTTGCAAATAAACTTTAGCCTGTAGGCCAGTTCACAAATACAGAATTTGCAAATAACAGGGATTGACCGTATATGAGCATATCTATGAAGGAAAGTATCTCCAAGCCTTTGGCCTGCACTCCTGGAGCATCCAGGGAGGAAGGGGAGGAGGCTGATAGGAAGGAGAACCTGGAGAGACAAAGAAGGGAGGAAGCAGGCCCAGAGAGAGGCCACCTACCCCTATGCAGTCACAAATCCAGAGTCATAAGACCCGACAGACCTGAGTGCGTGGAAGGAAGGCCAGACACAGCGAGAGAAAAGCACACTTCTCCTGGGGAACCGCATCTGAACCAAAGCAAAGCCCAGAGGAGAGCACCTCTGACCTGCAGGCTCCCCAGAGAGGCAGCAGTGGGAACGAATGGAAACAACTGCCCCAGGACCCTCCACAGCCATCTCAGGAATGTGCTCAAATTTACAGCCACCAGCTCCATTTCGCCTTCTGTCATCATTGTTTCATTTTCGGGGATGTGAAATCTTTCCAAAGGCTTTCAGGAGCCAGTCCCCAATTCAGCCCAGGCCCTCGCGCTCCCAGGAATCCTCAGCCACACAGGCCAGCTGGGAAGGTGGCCCCTGGATCCTGAGGCTCCCTGAAAAAGGCACGCCTCATCCCACATCCTCTGTGATTTGCCCACTCAGTCTGCAAGAAGGATTACCCTTTACCGAGACATAACCTTACCTAAAGAGGTCTGGTTTTTGCACTTGGCTCTTTGGAGGTTATCTCTGAGCCCTGGGAATTACCTGTTTAATCAGAGTGTCCTTGTTTACCTGAGTGCGTGTCTGGCCCCATTGGGCTCCAGAGTCAGGCTGAGCCCACCTGGGGAAGGAAGGCCAGGTTCCGGACCCCATCCTCCTCCTCCCTCTGGGCACCAGCCAGGCAGAAGGGCAGAGGCGGCGGGCGAGGCCCTCCTCTTGCTGCCACCCACCAGGTCCACCTGTCACCATCTAGAGCAGACCCAGCTTCAAAGCTGTGGGCCCTCACCTGCATTTGCTCAGAGCCCAAACTTCCAGCTCTGCCTGCCCTGGTTGCCGGGTGAGTCAGAGCCAGAACGAAAGAAATAGGCTGTGAGTCAAATCCCTTCCCCTGGGTCTCCTCCATCCCCCCCCACCCCCCGCCAACCAACACACAGGGACCCCACCTCAGTGCCATGGGCAGGGGGCAGCCTCACCCCAGTTTGACCAGTGCAGAGCATTTGGTTCTAAGGTGCTGGGAAAAGGAAGGAAAAAGTGTGAAGGAACAGAGATCTGCTCAGAGGAGGAGGAGGGCAGTGGGAGAAGCATACAGGACTTGGAAGCCCGGCCCGGCCAGTGCCCGGTCCCCTGCCCCCGTGTCCCAGCACACTCACCCTCGTCACAGTTGCTCCCAGTGAAGCCAGGGCAGCACTTCCACTCCAGCGCTGTCACTGTCCGGTAGGACACTCTGTATGTGGGTCTGATCAGAGTCCTGTAACTAACACAAGGGCAGCGTCAGGACAGTGTGAGCACCCACTGCCCACCCCCGCACCCAACTCCTGCAGCGCCAGCCCAGCCCAGGACTCTGGGAGCTGCCCGGCCAGTGGATCCTGCGGCCCCAGCTCTGTGCTACTAGCTGTGTGACTGTGGGGAAGTGACTATCCCTCTCTGTGCCAAGTGTGTTTCAGTTCTGCCCTTCCTGAAAGCCTCCAGGTGTGGCCACCTATAGTGGGAAATTGTCCTGCACGCTGACTGCTGTGGACTGAATTGTGTCCCCAGAATTCACATGTTGAAGCCCTCACCCCCACACACACTGAGAAAAGGCCATGTGGGGACACAGCAGACAGCTGCCTGAGAAAATAAAGGTCTGTAGTTGAAGCCACCCAGCCCATGATACTTTGTTATGGCAGTTCGAGGTAAGGAAATGACCAAAATCATGAATAAGGAGAAGAAAAATACCATTAGAACCTGTGCGACTTCCAACCACCCGCAAGTCACTGGACTCCAAACTTTTCCCCAATCGTTACTTCCTTTTATTGGTTCATCTAATGAATGCTTTTTTTAGTGCCAACTACATGCTACACTGTGGTCACAGCTGGATAAAACTGAGTCCCCACCTTCAGCGGGGTGTGAGAGGCCCTTCAATGAAAACCTGCGATCCAGTAGTGGGGCTCCCGCAGCAATACAATGCTCCACAAATGGCTGTGGCCTCCAGAATAAAATTTCAAAGTCCTATAGTTTCAATTGTTTTCTTACAAGTAAGTTTGATACTTATTTTGTAATCAAATTTATTTGGGGATTTTGTGAAACTCCAAGAATAGTGAATATAACATATTTGGCCAAATTTCACAAGGGGGAGGGGGGGAGTGTCAATTCAGCCTTGTTATTCACTCTACATGCATCCTTATAACTGTGTTGCCTGATCAAGTTGGCACAACTCCCTCTTGAAGGCATAACTCCATGACTTCACAAAATCTGAATTTGCTGACACCGAGCAACTTAATCGGTGAATGGGAAAATTATGAATTAATTGGTAGCAGCAGGCGTGACATTCCAAGATGCAATGACAGGAAAACACACGAGTCACGTCTTGAATTTCAGAAATACTGCACCAAATCTGAAAAATCCTGTTACACTAATTTATCTTTTTTTTAAAAATCTTCACTCATGTTTCGTAAATATTCCAGCAAATCAGCTTCCCCCTGGAGAGCTAAGGAGGGTGTGGCTGCGTGCAGCCAGGGGCAGGAGCCTTGGATGAGGAGCCAGAAGTCTGCACAGAGAGGTGCCCACCGCTGGGACCTGGAGAGTAAACCCAGGCCTTTAGACTCTAGGTCCTCCCTGCCTCCCTCTCCCCCTCCCCCGCCCTCATGCCCAGGAAACAACTGGAATAGGCCAGTGGGGATAGGGAGTGGCAGAGAAACAGTGTCACCACATCTTAAAGCAGGTGGCCTGGTGGGACATAGGTGGGTTAATGAGCCTGGGTCCAAGGAGTATAAATACAATGTCCACATTATAAACACATTTTCACCCTTATACACCCATTCACTTACACGCTCACTCACACCTCACATACTCACACATTCAGTCATATGCATACACTCTCACACACACACACACACACACACACACACACACACGCTTTCACACTCTCACACCCCTTCCTGCTGCAGACCTCCCAGCCTGAAGCAGGCCCAGCTGGGACGGGGAGAAGCTTTCACTGATGTAAAAGATGCCAGTTTTATTGTGGTAATCATTTCATAATATATGTTCATCAAACTATCAGGCTGTGCACCTTAAATTTATATAGTGCTGATATCAATTATTTCTCAGTAAAACGGTCGGGGGAAGAAGGTACAAAATGAATTATGTAGCAAAAAAAAAATTAAGATGCCAGTTTTTCAGTTGATCCCTAGAATAACATTATTGCTTTGGCTCAGAGAAATCAGAAAAGCTTCAGAATCCACTTGGGGCAGACATATAGGGCAGGAAAGGGTCAAGTCGCTTATTGCTTATGTCCTGCCCAATGCATCTGGTGCCATGAGGGATCCCTCCCAGACCCTCAGCACCATGGGATAGATGGAGTCCTGGGCTTCGGGCTCTGCCCCTTGTGTACAACGTGGACTTGCACACGTTCCTCAGCCTCCCTGAGCCCGTTTCCTGGTCTGCATGATAAGGACCCCATGGAGACCAGAATGTGGTGTGTAGGGGTCCCTGGGAGGGCATATGTGTGAGGCATTGACAGCAGAAAGGGGTACACAGATGCTGGGTTTGCAAAACACAGACCTGACCTCATCGGTCCCAGCCCATACCCTTCGGCAGTCCCCACTGTGGTCAGGAGAGTCTGGCCTTAGCCACGTGTGCAGGCCCTTCTCCAGCTCACACAGCTTCCCTACGGCCCGTGTCATAGGCTGCCCCTTGGCCTCCAGCCTGTGAGCCCTCCAAAATGCACCAGGCACTCTGCAGTCCATACCTTGAAAGATGATGATGATAAAAATACTAATATTTGTAGATATAACAAGAGCTTTGATTGAGTGCCCACCATGTACCAGGTATTGTTCACAACAACCCTAAAAGACGGATTCTATTACTTTTCCTACTTTACAGATGAGAAAACTGAGGCAGAGAAGTTAAATAACTTTCCCCAGGTGGTGGAACTAGGACCCAAATGCAAGCAGAATTGGCAGAGCCTAGTAACACTAGTGTGTGTCCGTTCCTTCCTACATCTGCACAAGGTACTGATCTTGGGCCCCTGAACCAAAGGGAGAGCTCATCTTTCTGTCCCTCATTTTGAGGCCATGCTCTGGCCTGTCCCACCAGGTGGCCTGCGAAGTCCAGGAGCAGGGCTCACCAGTAGGTGGCGCTGCTTCACCAGCCCAGAGGGCCAGGGCTCAGCATGGCTGACCCCTCCAGTCTTACCTGAAGGCTCAAGGCGGGCTCAGCGTTGATGGCCTCTCCCTAGATCTGCGCAAGAAGCTGAGGAGCTTCATCCTTTTACATCCACGAGGAACTCCCAGCCCTTCTGCTGGGGTCCAGTTTGCAAACCCAGATCTTTCTAAAAATGCAGATCAAGTTTTGTGACTGCCCTCCCTTAAAATGGCTCCCATAGACTGAAGAACAAATCTTTAGGTCAGTAAATAAGGCCCTGCCTACCTTTCTACCATCCCTCCTCCTATCACCACAGCCAAGGCTCCTACCACCAGCACACAACAAGCTGCACTTTCTGTCCACGGGCCTTTGCATGTGAATGCTCTTCCGCCTTTACTCTGCGTGAGAAAAATCCCCAAGAACTTTCAGGGTGTGACTCAAATGTCCCCTCCTCCTCTGTGAAGCACCCCCTCCCTGGCCAGAGTTGACAGGCTCCTTCCTCAGCCCTCCTGCAACACCGTGTACAGAGCCTGGTTTTAACCCAACCCTCATCTGTGCACTCACAGATACATACCAAGAGCCTGCTGTGTGCCAGGCACTGGGAATGCAAGGATGAAGAAGGCAGGCCCAGGCTTCACTCTGTCAGGGCTGTGGCACTAATCATATATCATACGCAAGTATATGAGCATGCACTGTGGTAAGTGCTATGAAGGCAAGCACTGAGTTCACGCCTCATATTATAATGGAATTTTTCCTTGTGTTATTAAAATATAATTTACATACAGTAAAATAGATAAATCTAGTATTTAGCTGAATGAACTTTAACATATGGATACACCAACATTCTTACTACTCAAAAGTCCCCTTATGCCCCTTCATGTTGATTACCCAGCCCCCAGACATAACCACTCTTCTGACTTCTCTCACCAGAGATTAGTTTTTGCCTGTTCTAAAATCTCATATAAATGGAACCTTACAGCCATGCACTCATTTGTGTCTGCCTTCTTTCATTCATCCATTATGTCTGAGTTTCATCCATGTTAAGTATACCAGTATTTTATTCCTTTTTATTGCTAGACTAGAGGCCCAGTGCATGAAAATTCGTGCACGCGGGTCTGGGGGAGGGGAATTCCTCAGCCCGGCCTGCGCCCTCTTGCAGTCCAGGACCCCTTGAGGGACATCCACCTGTCGTCAGTCAGACATCCTTAGCGCTGCTGAGGCGGGAGAGGCTCCCACCACCACCCCTGAGCTCTCAGCTGTCAGCCTGGCTTGTGGCTGAGCCGAGCTCCCCGTGTGGAAGTGCACTGACCACCAGGGGGCAGCTCCTGCGTTGAGTGTCTGCCCCCTGGTGGTCAGTGTGCATCATAGTGACCGGTCAATTTGCATATTACTTTTATTATATAGGACAATATTACATTATATAAATATACCATAATTTGTCCATACTCCTGTTGATGGGTATTTGGGTTGTTTCTAGTCTTGAGCTATTAATGGACAAAGATGCTATGAGCGTTCTCATATAGTCTTTGTAAACAGATGTTTTTATTTCTCCAGATTACATACCTAGGAATAGAATTAATGAAATATAGGATGGATATATGTTAACTTTAGTAGATGGTACAAACAGGTTTCTTTTTTTTTAATTGTTTTATTGCTTAAAGTATTACAAAGAGTATTATATATGTCTCCTTTTTTTTTCTCCCCTTGACCTTCCCCTAGCCTTCCATACCCCCCAGTGTCTTGTGTCCATTGGTTATGCTCATATGCATGCATACAAGTCCTTCGGTTGATCTCTTACCCACCCCCACAATCCTACCTGGCCTTCCCACTGTAGTTTGACAATCTGTTCAATGTTGCTCTGCCTCTGTACAAACAGGTTTCCATGACCTGTTTGGATTAACCAGTCCACGCACCTAGCAGCAGTGTATGAGTCCCAGTTGCTCCATAGTTTTGTTAACATTTGATGTTGTCAGTCATTTTCATTTTCATTAACATTTGATGTTGTCAGTCATTTTATTTTCATTTTAGTGTGTACTCCTTCATTATGGTTTTAATTTGCAATTCCTGATGACTAAATAAAGTAACCCCTTTTCATGTTCATCATTTGCTTATCTTATGTGAAGTGCC